GGATGAGGAGGGAAACAGTCCAATTAAGAGGCAGGAGCAGAGTGGGGAAGACGAGGGCTTGAATCCTGGTGGTAGGGAAATGCTGAGGTCAGATTCTGGATCTGGCAGGATATGCTGATGGCACTGTGTGTGCAGTATATGTGAAAAAAAAATAAATAAACAACCAAAGGTAATGCATGGTTTAGGGCTGGAGCACCTGGAAGGACAGAGCAGCCATTGACTAAAATGGTGACAACTCAGATGGGAAAAGAATAGAGTTGTAGCTCTAGAAATGTGACACTTTTTAGAATCCTAAGTAGATATATCAAGTCAGTGGTTACATCTGTGAGTCCGTGGTTAAGGAATGGAGACAGAAATCTGGAATCAGGATGATGTTTGTGGCCAGTGACTCTATCAAGGTCACCTAGGGAGGAGAAACAGACACGGGGGTTATGGTCTGTGCCAGAGTGACAAACAGAGGTCACGGAGATGAGGATGAACCAGCAAGGGAAGCTAAGAAGGCCCAGCTGTTGAGGAAGGAAATAAACAGGACACAGTGGTGTACCCAAGGCAAAGCGAAGACAGTGTCCCAAGAACACGGCCAACTCCAGTTCTCTACGCATTACCTTACTACACTCATCCTGCACAGAGCAGAACACCTCTTAGTCTTGCCCTCTCTGAGACACCCTGCCCAGACAGATGACCCTCCTCCATGTCCCTGAGTCTCAGCGTCGGTCTCAGTTAGAAAACTTGTCAAAACGGTGACTGCAGCGTCTCTTCTCCAGCTTCTCCCCTACCTACTGCCTTCCCTCCCAGAAATGTGAGTTCTTGGAGGGCCAGAAGTTTCCAACAGAATTCCTGAGCTCTCACAAGTAGGAGAGGAGAAGGTGTATTTGTTAAGGGTCTCCTGTCCCTTGGGCAAAAATAATGCTTTTACGATGGTTCACTTAGGTGCTCAAAAAATGCTGGGAGGGCAACTCCGTGCCTAGGTACAGCCCTCCTGGAAAGGTGGAAACTCCATGGCACAACAGCTTATGTCAATAGCTATCAACATTATCCTCTTCCCCCTCTTTCCAAGCTTATAAGGCAAAATTCTCCAATACAATGTTTCTTCCTTTATAGACTTTCCTCAAATAAGTTACAACTAACAGACATAAATATTTGTTCTAACTGGCTGCCACAATTTTCACTGTATGTGAGAAAAGTCCTTATTAGACATTAGTCCAATGTAAGTTTAGTGAGTGAGCTTCTCTTTGGATTTCTCAGCATAATCAGTCTCTTTGTTTTCCATTTGACTGTTAAAGTGCCAAAACTATGTTGTGAAGGCAACATGGGCCTGATTTGGACAATTGCAAGATGGTGATATAAGAAATTCAGGACAGAAAGCATATTGTGTGACAGATTGTTAAAGGGAAATATTGATTTCCATTTATTTTATCTCTTGTTGACACACAATAATGGTCACAGCCGTGATTCTTATATAATGGATTGGGGAGAAGTAACGAACTGAGCAAGAAATGGTATTTTGTTGTTGCCTCAAATTTGATCCATGTTTCTAAGTTTATTCCCTAGGCTGAAAAGTAGAATCTTGGAGCCTAACAAACACATTGTAGATTTAAATCTATCATTTGTTACTGCAGTCAATCTTGCTAAGCCAGATCAATTTGTGATGCTCTGACAAAATAGTTTGCAGTCTTTTGAAGAGCAAAATTTGAACGGTATCGACATAGAAAGGTAATTTTACTTTTCTGTTACTACTAGCTGGCCATGGATTTCATCTCCCTCTGGGACATTTGTACCATCTCTCTCTTAATTTGTATCAAGGAAGATTTTGGCTGAAACTATTTGGATCAATAACATGGATTAGATAAAATCTTTGACAAAGTTTTAACTTTTTAAAAAAAATATGTTGACAATTTGTATTTTTCTTCTATGTTTACTGACATTGGGGAGATTAGAATTCACAAGTATATAATTTCTTCATACTGATTCATCTACCGATCTCTATAATCAAAGTAACAGGACTTTTGTATTTTTGTCCTAAGCATATCTGAAATATAAATTCTCTTAGGACAGTCCCCTTGGGCCCCGGAGCACCTTCCCCAGCACTACTGCTGTAACTGTCACCAGTCTAACAACAACTGCAGCTGGTCTAACAGTTCTCACATCTATCCTCCACACAGTATTGGGGATGAACTATCTAAAATGCTATGTAGCCAGTGCCAGTATTATTTAGAAATCTATCAATGCTTTCTTAATTTTCCACAGAAGAACAGCAAGGACTCATGCCACGGGAACACCTCAGGAGCCTCTAAAACAGCTCTCACCTGGGCCTCAAACTTTGAAGGGAATTCTGGGTAAATTACAGCCTGGGAGCCAGGGGCAGCCTCTCCACATACTATCACAGGCAGGTGTAGGATTCTGGGGGTTCTGGAATATTCTGAATTCAGATCTTGTGTTCTCAGTCTATAATTATCAAGGTATATTTCATCAGATTAGATACTTTGAAATTTTTGCCAGCTTTATTTATTACTTGTAAATATTTAGACATATGAGACACATGATATGTGGGTTATTATTATGGCACCCATCTGGACCTACAGACTTTAAACCCATTCAAATTTCCATACAAAGCCCTTCATGGCCACAACCCCCTGGATTTCCCCAGCTCATCTCGAACTGCTTATTGGCTGTGTTGCATGTAAGGTGCCCTAACCCTTAACTTTTTATACCATGTTCTATACATCTTGATATATATTATGTAATATATATAACATTTGTGTGTTTTTGCTGATGCTGTTAAATTGAACGTTCTTCATTACTTGCCTGGCTACTTCATTCATCTCTTAATATTCAGTTTGTAAAATCATCATTTTAAAAAAACTTGTCTTGGCTCACAAATTTCCCCCACAACAATGCAATCTTCATTTTTAACACTACCTTAATATGCTATATAACTACCTGTTTCTATTTCATCTAACAAAACTGTAAACCTTTTGAGGGCAGCATTGATATTGTTACTATTATATATTACTAACAATCTAAAATTGTTGAACAGCATGGTTAAAAATCCATGTTACTTCACATTTCATTGAACCTATAAAGACAATTGCCTTGAAAATACCACTCACCAATTAGTAAAACTGAACAGCCAGGCACCATTACTTAAAAAATTTACACAAGTGTATCAAAGAATGTGAAGCCATTGCTGAAGCCATTGTGGGCTTTAAGTACTCAGTCTTTCCACCATGCAATGTGTATCAAATAATGATGACAGAGACATCATAATAAGAAAAATTATGAAACTAAGTTTTAAATTTTACATAAAATGTTGAAGCTGTGAGTATTTGACCCTTTGAAAGATAACTACTGATGATAGTTCTAAAGACAAATAATTTTGTAAAAGATTAACTTTAAAAGATCATATAACTATAAAAGATGAATAATCTTAAATAATATGTGAGTTAAGTGGCGCTCAACTTAGAAGGGTGTAAGAATGCTACATTTTAAGAAATAAATACACAATTATTCATTTATTTTGTGACTTCTTAAATGTGTAGAAATTATTTATTTTTTTGTCCATTGGGAAACCCAAAGTCTAGAAAACTAGCCCATTTTCTATATAATTTGTATATCATTTTTATACCATATATTCATGCAATGTATATACCATGGCTTTCTCCCCGCTATAACTATTGATTGAATCTAACATGTGGGTCTGAGTCCCCCTTATTTCCTGACCTACTGTGATGAGGGAAACAAGATCCGAGCGTTGCCGTCATTCTTTGTCATGAAGTATCTCGTTTGGAACACGATCAGAAGTTTCCAACATTATACACTTCCATGAGCTTAGTACCTCAGCGTACATCTCAGCGCCACCTGACACACTGGCCTGCTTCAGTGTGTCTGTCGGAGATTCCTGGCCTAGGATTCCGCTGGTACCGAATCTCTGCCCATCACAGATTCTGGGCTGATTCCCGGACAACTCTGTCAGCCTTCTTTTCCCTTGCAAACCCACAATCTGCATCTCTCAACTCTCTTTGTCTGTGCAGTCCAGTCACACCAGGAGGAAACCCGTGCAGCCAAGTCAGCCATGTGTCTGACTCTGGAAACTCTGTGTTGCTTGGATTTTCCCTTTAAGAGTAGTGTATTGAATGGGCAGGCTCCGTCCCATATGTCAGCTTGCCAAGTTCTTCGCATGACCATGCTCTGTGTATTGTGCTTAACAACTGCTTTCCCAAGAGTCCATTTGACAGTTTTACTCCCAGACGTAGCTCCTTAGTCTTCAACCTTCCCACCCTAGCTACCTATTATGGGTACAGTCTCCCCAAAACTCTTGCACATATTTAAATTCTGATGTCTTAATGTTAATGGTTGATGGATTAAGGATGGAGATTTGATCTAATGACAGCATCTCAGAGGGGCGGCCCATAGGAGGTTTGGGGGTCACTGGGGGCAGGCCCTCAGACGTTCTCTCAAGAGGTTTCATTATCTGAGTTCCAGTTTAGCCTAGGTTCTCTCCCTCCTTCCTGGATCACTGTGTGACTGCCTCTGTACCCTCCATGACCAGCATACATCACATACCAGACTACGGGGCTTCCCAATCCTATAACCTCCAACTGTGAGCTGAAATAAACCTTTTCTTCCCCAAAGAAGCTCCTCTCAGATATTTCAATTAAAGTAATGAAAAGTAGAAGAATATACTTCCCAGCCCAAAGCCACAGACCTGTGGTGTTAGAGTCCTATCCGATCCTGTCCATGCACTTACCGCCTGATGTTCATTCATTCACAATGAAACAGGGAGGCTAGGGAGAATATTAAGCAGATTTCAAATTTCCAATTACATTAATAACAGGCAACGAGAGAACTTGTTCTTTGAATCATCCAACAGCATACAGCTTGAATACCTGAGAACTGAAGAACTACTGTGGGAGTCGGACTAGCCCACGTAGCTGGGACTATTTACAGTTAGTGATGTGATTGTGTGCTAAAGCCTTTTTAATTTACGGTATATAGCTTACCTTAACTTCCACATGTGCCATCAATACTGCAAAATTGGTCAAGTGGTTACAGGAGCATGTGGTATGTGTCTTATTGGTGGTCAGGAGCCGACAGCCTTGTGTTGACCAATAGCCTGTCATTGTGCGCTTGGAGTAGCTCCAAAATGAACAATTAGGATTGAAATTTTCCTCTGACTGCTACAGGGAGAAAAAAAAAAAAAAGCCAATGACTGCTTGATGACTATTTAAATTAGGTAGGCATTTTCTTGACAAGCAACACAACCTTGCAGTCAATTCCAATTCCTGGAGAGATGTCTATCAGAGTATTTTCTTATTAAGTGAACTTCATTAAATGTAAGCAAAGTGGAATATATTCAGTTGTTCACTTCTGATTAGAAGTGAGTTCACTGATTTTTCTAAATTAATAATATTGAAAGAATATTAGTACCAATTTTTCAGAATGATATCAATTAATGTACATGGCAAAGTAAAAAAGTTAGTTTTCCTAAACAATCACACCCTCCAAAGATGTCTTTAGGAAATATTTGTTGAAGGCATAATTACAATTTCTGTACGTACACTAAAATACAGCTGCATAAAAGATGATTACTTATAATACCATATATGAAACCATGTCCAGTTCCATTAGACATATTATTTATTTTTAAAACATTAAATTTTATAGAGTATATTTAAAGTACCAAATATGATGTTATGGGATACAAATTGGAAATAGAAAACTTACTATAGTGAAGCAAATTAATATATCCATCATCTCACAATTACTCATATTTATTATTTTGTGGCAAGAGCAGCTAAAATCTACTCATTTAAACAGAATTCCATGTAGTACATTTGGTGTCAAGACATATTCTAGCTCTTTTTATTGTGGAGAAGAAGATATAAATCTATCTATGAATTTTGTAAAGTGTTTACATATACAATAATTATTCTCCTCATCCAAACCTCTGAAAAAAAGGACATTTGATAGATCACGAATTGTGATGGAAAAACATCTAGAGAAAATGAACACACTTAATATTCATGTGGTAATGAATACACATAAAGTGGAAAACTAATCTTAACCTGCCATTTTCTTACCTTGATATGTTTAACAGTAAATACCACGGGATCAGCCAAATAAACCTTATTACTGAACTCTTTGTTTATTGCTGCTGTAATAACAGGGGAATTGACGATAACAGAATGATTTGTGGACATAGCTTCTGTTCCCAACTTCATGCTGGCATTCTCCGTAGACAGATAAGGACCCAAGTTATTATATAAAACAAAGGCCACTCTGATCTCTCCTAAAACAAATGCAAATGTGAATTATAAATGGGCACAAACTCTGATTAGTGTGTACATTCTCCTTAGAAGGTAATCAAATCTGCATGATCTATATTCACACACACAAAAAATCAAGCACTCATTTCAACCAAAGAACCATATCAGTCAATGAGGAAAGGAAAAGTAAAATTAAGTCAAAACAATTACATGTCAGCATTAAAGAAAAAAAAAAAAGAACTTTAGTCCCTACCTAACCCCACACTCAAAATTGTATTCAAAATTGATCATAGACAAAAACAAAAACCCAGAACTATAGAAAGTCTGGAACAACATTCAGGATAACACCTTCAAATTTTAGAAAGGAAGGGCAGTCTTGGGTAGGATATGGTAAGTTGATCGTTATCAAAAATCGAAAATTTTCGAGCTGGGTATTTTGTCTAGAGGATAAGTTGCTGACTGGGATGCCCACATCCCATACTGGATGACAGGGTTTGAGTTCCAGGCTCCACTCTCAATTCTGGCTTCCTGATAATGTATACCCTGGGAGGTAGCAGCAATGGCTCAAGTAGTTGTGTTCCTGCCACCCACATGGGAGACCTGAATTATGTTCCCAGCTCTTGGCTTTAGCCTGGCTCAGCCCTGGCTATTGCCATAATTTGGATAGTGAATGACCTAATAGAAACTCATCTGTCTATCTGCCTCTCAAATAAGCAAACAAATTTTTTTCTCTCAAAATCATTATGAAACTGCTTAAGCGAACCACAAGAGAGGAAAGAAATATATATAGAAGACTCATAAATATGTAGTGTTTCTGCTAGTCAATAAGATAATGCTTAAATAGATAAACACTTTAGAAAAATGGTCAATGACATCTAGTGGACACATGAAAAATGATCAACATCATAAGTAATTAGGGAAATGAAAACTAAAACCACATTGAGACACCATTTCACACACACTAGAATCTCTAAAAGCGCTGACCATTCCAATGGTAACCAGGACATGAGACAACTGGAACTCTTGTACAGTATCTGTAGAGATTGATTCTAGATACCCCATGGATACCAAGACCTGTGGATGTTCAATTCCCCTCCCCCCTTTTTAAAAAGATTTATTTATTTATTTATTTGAGAGGTAGAGTTACTGAGAGGGAGACACAAAGAGAAAGGTCTTCCATCTGCTGGTTCACTCCCCAAATGGCCACAACAGATGGAGCTAAGCCAATCCAAAGCTAGAAGCTAGGATCCAGGATCCAGGATCCAGGAGCCAGGAGCCAGGAGCCAGGAGCTTCTTCTGGGTCTCCCACCTGGGTGCAGGGACCCAAGGACTTGGGCTGTCTTCTACTGCTTTCCCAGGCCATAGCAGAGAGCTGGATTTGATACAAATCAGAGCCCATTTGGGATACCAGCACCACAGGTGGAGGCTTAGCCTACTACACCTCAACGCTGGTCCCCAATCCTTTTATAAAATGGCAGAGGGGTCGGTATTGTAGTGCAGCAGGTTAAGCTGCCACTTAAGACATGGGAATCCCTTGGGAGGTCCAATATGAGTCCTGGCTACTCTATCTCCAATCAAGGTCCCTGCTGATGAGCCCAGGAAAGCAGTGGAAGATGGCTCAAGTGCTGAGCCCTTGCATCCACGTGAGAGGAGAGACCCAGAAGAAGCTGGCTCCTGGCTTCAGCCTGACTCAGCTCCAGCCATTGAGTCCATATTGTGGCCATCTGGGGAATGAACCAGCAGATGAAAGATATCTCTCTCTCTCCAACACTTTCAAATAAATAATTTCTTTAAGATTTATTTATTTTATTTGAAAGGTAGAGTTACAGAGAGGCAGAAGGAGAGAGGAAAGGAGGGAGGGAGGGAGGTAGGGAGAGAGAGAGAGAGGGAAGTCTTCCATTCACTGGTTCACTCCCCATATGGCTGAGCTAATCCAAATCCAGAAGCCAGGAACTTCTTCTGGGTCTTCCATGCAGATGCAGGGACTCAGGCACTTGGGCCATCTTCTACTGCTTTCCCAGGCCATAGCAGAGAGCTGGATCAGAAGTGGAGCAGCCGGGACTTGAACCAACACCCATATGGGATGTTGGCATTGCAGGCAGCAGCTTTACCTGCTATGCCACAGTGCTGGCCCCATAAATAAATAAATCTTTAAAAATAAATAAATAAAATGACACACAGTATGCACACAAATCCTCCTAAACCTGACATTTCATGAAGCTCATGGAATGAAGGAATTAAAAGATGTTTATTTTGGTGCCAAAATGTTGGAAAAACACGCATAGCTTTTTCATGAATAAGCACTTTCCAAAATCATTTCCAGATTCCTTATAGTGCAGTGTAAGTGCTCTGTAGACTGTTATACTGTATTGTTGAGGGAGTAATGACAAGGGGAAAAGTCTGCACATCTCACTACAGACAAAACTTTTGCTCCCCAGGTGGTTGGGCCTGGGGATGTGGAATACAAGGCTACACTGCTGATGATTGTATAAAATAGTACAACTATTTGGAATCCTATTTGTCAAATTCTTATAAAGTTAAATATATATCTACCTTTCCCAGAAGAGTAAAAACATACTGGCAAAGAAAAGAACTTGCATAAAAATATTCATAGCATCTTTTTTCATAATAACCACATACCTGGAAACAACTCAAGTAGGAAACTACACAAATTATGGCATTTCAACATAATAAAATATACTATGTATCAATAGACAACAAAAAAATCATGACTGAATCTCAAGAAGGTTTTGCTGGGGTCTCTGCTGCGGTACAGAAGGCTAAGCCGCCACTTGTGATGTGGACATCCTATATCTGAGTGCTAGTTCAAGTCCCAGCGACTCCTCTTCTGATCCAGCATCCTGCTAACATCCCTGGGAAGGCATTGAAGGTGATCCAAGTACCTGTCCCTGTAACCCACATGGTAGAGCAGGATGGAGTTCAGGTTCCCGGCTTTGACCTGACCCAGACCTGCCTGTTGTGGCCATTTGGTGAATGAACCAATAGATGAAAGAATTAATGGTAAAACTAGTCTTCAAACAGTACTTTATACTTTGTGTGTCTGTGTGGGTACAAGCTGTTGAAATCTTGATTAGTATAGAGTTGGTCTTCTGTATATAAAGTTAATAAAAAATGAATCTTAATGAAGAATGGGACGAGAGAGGGCGTAGGAGGTAGGACGGGAGTAGGGGTGGGAGGGCGGGTATGGGGGAAAGAACTGCTATATTACAAAAGCTGTACCTATAAAATTATATTTATTAAATAAAAGCTTTCTAGTATGTTTTGTTTGTTTGTTTATTTTGACAGATAGAGATAGACAGTGAGAGAGAGAGACAGAGAGAAAGGTCACCCCCCCGAATGGCCACTATGGCCAGCGCACTGTGCTGATCTGAAGCCAGGAGGCAGGTGCTTCCTCCTGTTCTCCCATGTGGGTGCAGGGGCTCAAGCACTTGGGCCATCCTCCACTGTCTTCCCGGGCCACAGCAGAGAGCTGGACTTGAAGAAGAGCAACCGGGACTAGAACCTGGCACCCATATGGGATGCTGGCGCCGCAGGCAGAGGATTAGCCAAGTGAGCCACGGCACTGGCCCAAATAAAAGCTTTCTAAAACAAAAACAAAAACACAAAAAGCAAAAACAAAAAAAGGGAAAGCTCTCTCTCTCTTTCTCCCTGTGTGTGTGTGTGTGTGTGTCCCTTTCTGTCACTCTGCCTTTCAAATAAATAAAGCTTTAAAAAGACTTTTTTTTTTTTTTTTGCTATGCGAAAGAATCTAGACAGGCAAGTATATGTATTTTACTACAACGTAAAAGAACAGGAAATTCTGTGTGCAGTAATAACAGTGAGAAGAGAAGTTTCATTAGGTAGTGAGAGAACGTGAGGTGACTGGTAAAACAACCAGGGAGTTTTCTTGGAACAGAAGAGATTAATTTTCTTGTTTTATGTGATAGTACAGAGGAATATACAACTGTCCAATTCCTCAAGTTAAATGCTAAGACTGTGTATATCTTATTGTATGCAAATTACATCTCAACTGCAATTGTTTTAAAAAAAAAAGCTAGGATTCAAAACGCTTCCCCATCCTAAAAATCAATTATCATGTTCTTTCAAGGTCGGTATCTCCACAAAGTCACCAAGTCCTTCCACCTTGTTTTCCCTTTATGAAACTCTGAAATACAACCATCTGTGAAGCTAATCTTCTTTTAACATGGCTCTTTATTGTATCACTTCCTTTCTTTTTTTAATATACTTTTTCATTTTACTGAAAGGCAGAAACAGAGAGAGGGAGACACCTTCCATCTTCTGGTTCATATCCCAATGCTAACAACAGCTGGGACTGAGCCAGGAGGAAACCAGGAATCAGGAACTGCGTGTGGCTCTCTCACGTGGATGGCAGAGACCTAAGGACTTGAGCCTGCAACACTGCCTCAGGAGCAGCACGTTAGTAGGAAGACGGGGTTACGATATGGAGCTTGGACTTGAACCCAGACACTCTGCCATGGAATGTGGGCATCCCAAACGGCTGCCAAACTGCTGTGCCATAGCATCACCTGCCCTTCACTATCTTGCTTGAACAAAGTCAAGCCCTGGGTCCCTAATCCCTGTGTGTGGTGCTATGCTATCGGTTCACCCAGAGACAGGCACTTGGCAACCACGGTAGTGGTTGCCAAGATAAGGTAGGAGCTGGTGCTGGATGTGGCCTTTAAGACACTGCTCAGGACACCTGTATCCCATATCAGAGTGTGCAGAGTGGAGTCCCGGTTCTACTCCTGACTGCAGTTTTCTGTTAATGTGCACCTGGGAGGCAGCGGGGCTGGCTCAAGCACTTGGGTCTCTGCCACCCACCTGGGAGACCTGGATGGAGTTCCTGGCTCCTGGCTTTGGTTTGGCCCAGTCCCTGTTGCTGCAGGCCTTTGAGGAATGAACCAGTGGATGGAAGATCTCTGTCTCCCTATCCCTCTCTTTCAAATAAAATGCAAATAAATAGTAGTTTTTCAATAACATGAAAAACAGAAGATAAGGAGGCCACTGTCTTTAGGTCTGACCCTTTGAGTCGTGTGGAGAAAGAGTGGCAGCACTGACAGTCAAGAGGGATGACAGACATAGAACTTTGAATACGTTGTTTGAAGAAAGGAGGCTTGTCCAACATCTAAACTGAGCTCCCACATTTGGGAAACCCCTACTCTTGGGGATTTAGAGACACAAAATAGACATGCACTTGCTTGCCCAGCTTGCCATGTAGGGAGGTTGCGCAGTGTACCCAGCTGCTGCAGCAGGCTCAGCCTGCAGCCAAGGAGCTAGGCGCACAGGAGGCAGCAGCAGTAGCTTCACAGCAAGGCTTCTGTGCAGCATCTAAGCCTGCTGTCTGCCTCCCCGGCCTCTCAGCAAGTGTGAGATCTGCCGTCCTTTCAGCAAGACAGCAGAGAGACCAGGATGAGAGCTACACAAAGGAAGAAGGCATTCTTATCTAATGCATATCTCTGGACAAGGTACTTCTTATCTGTTACAACCCACAATTTAAATTCAGCTCTCTCTTTCTAGAATTAGCATAAAAATGCTGATTTGGGGAAGTCTAAATTTAAGAACATCTATGCACTTTTCTTATTGCCATTTGCAACTTTTAATTGGCTTATAGCTGATTGATAATTCATAGCAATTTCCACTTCTGTAATAGTGCCATGTTGTTAACCACCTTATTTTACCACTTCACATACAATTATTGCAGATTCTGTGCTCCAAAATTAATGATTAAATGTGACTAAGAAAACAAAACAAAAACACCATATATTACTTTGGTAAGCAATAAAATCAGTGTGCACACAATTTAATTGGACTAAAGTAGGCATATTTCAATCCTCATTAACTTTGGATCTGAAAGTTCACAAGGTTCCTTGACAGGTGATTAGTTGGTGTGTTGTTGTGTCAGGCATTGCGTAAAGTACCAGGGATATATCCATGAACAAGATGGACAAGGTCCCTGTTCATAGGGAGCTTCCTGCCTAGAGAGAGAGTCAGACAATAAACACAGAAATATTGATAATAATATGATTTCTTATAATACTAAGTGAATGCATGCTTTGAAGAGGCATTGGCATAAATATGGTTAATGGGAAAAGCTCGAACGGAAAAGAATGGCCTCCTTTAGGAGCTAAGGGGAAGACTATCCCTACAGGGGAACATTTTACTCTAAGAAGTGAATGACAGGGAGGCTGCCACTCAAAGAAATGTAAAAATTTCACTCCAAGAGGAAAGAAAAGGACAGAAAACAACCCAATACAGGAACACGCCCAGGAAGTTTGAGACTAGACAGAATCACAGAGCGCATGAGAGACACACATGAAGCAGGAGGGCACTGCACAAGGCGGCACAGGTCAGGCCTGACCACGTCATGTGGCTTCATTCTAAACATGACCAGAGGTGACCTGGTCAGATGTATGTTTCAGGAAGGACCCTCCTTTCTGGGGGGCCAGGGTAAAAGCAGGGAAAACAGTTCAGAGCTGATGCAGGAATCAGGGTTTTGCTGGACAGACTTCTACTGCTGCCCTGAAAGTCCTGTTAGTCAACTTGGTAACATAAAGATAACTTCTAAGTTCAGTCATACAAGATTTCTTCTTCTTTTTTTTTTTTTTTTAATGTGTTTTATCTATTTGAAAGGTAGAATTACAGAGAGGGAGAGAGGGAGAGGGAGAGGGAGAGGGAGAGGGAGAGGGAGAGGGAGAGGGAGAGGGAGAGGGAGAGGGAGAGGGAGAGGGAGAGGGAGAGGGAGGGAGGGAGAGAGAGATCTTCCATCCAACAGTTCCCTCCCCAAATGGCCACAATGGCCAGGGCTGGGCCAGGATGAAGCCAGGAGCTCTTTCTTCCCAGACTCCCACATGGGAGACTATTTGCTATCAGTTGATCTATATTTACCAGCCCCCACCAAAAGAATCTCCTTACACAAGAATTTCCTGTATGTTTTGCAAACACTTTATTGAAACAAATGAATTTAAAAACAGGTGATGCTAGTGTCGTGCCACAGCATGTAAGTCACTGGCTGTGATGGCAGCATCCTGAGTGCTGGTTCGAGTCCAGGATGGTCCATTTCCAATCCAGCTCCTTGCAAATGCGCCTGGAAAAGCAGTGGAAGATGGCCCAAGTGCTTGGGTCCCTGTCTTCGATGTGGGAGACCCAGGTGGAATTCCAGAATCCTGGTTTTGGCCAGGGCCCACTTGAGGAATGAAACAGCAGGTGAAAGATCTCTGTCTCTCTCTGTGTCTCTACCTATCCTTCTTCTTTTCAATAAATATTTTTTTAAAAAAGATTTATTTATTTATTTGAAAGTCAGAGCTACACAGAGAAGAGGCAGAGAGAGAGGGGGGTCTTCTGCTGGTTCACTCTCTAATTGGCCGCAACAGCTGGAGCTGTGCCGATCCAAAGCCAGGAGCCAGGAGCTTCTTCCAGGTCCCCCACGTGGCTGCAGGGGCTGAAGGACTTGGGCCATCTTCTACTGCTTTCCCAGGCCACAGCAGAGAGCTGGATCAGAAGTGGAGCATCCAGGACTAGAACTGGCGCCCATATGGGATGCCGGCGCTTCAGGCCAGGGTGTTAACCTACTGCACCATAGCACCGGCTCCGCAATAAATGTTTTTTAAAATGACATGTAATTTTAAAATTTTAAGTGAATTTCCATTAAAAACTTTACAAGATAATCTGCAAGTTGAGAGTTTCTCCTTTTAAGGAAAAAATTCAGACCTCTGGACTGTCTGGCTTTTGGTGTCCACGAATTTCCCCCACATTCCAGCTCCTGACAGTGAAAAGTGGTGGAATGTTTCCAAGTATGATGGAGAATGTGGCAGAGTAAATGTCACTGCAGTATTGATGGGGAGGTAAATTAGAAAGAGGACACAGAAGAGGAGGAGAAACAGACACAGGGAGAGGGCAGCAAGAGCTCCTAGGTAATGGATCTAAAATTCCAAGCCCAGAGCCGTGCACAGAGGCAAGTTCAATCCCATCGGGCTTTGGAAAGTCACTCACCGTTCCGGCCGTTCTGCTTCAGAGTATTTGCAGAAAGCTGGATGGTGCTGCCATGACCCATGCTTTCCGGAAACTTCAGGTCTTCTAAGTTTCCTTCTGTGCTCAGTCTTGCAACTTCTAATTCTGGGAAGAGAACAGAGGTATCGTGCTCACTAGGCAATGCGCCAACGCTGCCATAATTTCCAGAGTCACTGAAATATTTCTGAAACTCAAGCCCTGGAATTCTTGTTCTGTCACACATTAAGCAGTTCAATATTTAAGAAAGCATACTGTTGGCATTTTATATGTTTTTACAATAAGGCAATAAAAGTTATTAAAACCCTATAAACAATACAAATGTATTAATAAAGTTTAAAATGTAAAATTCATGCTCAAATTCTTATGCTTTATTATTGGCTTTAAGGTACTTTTCAAAATATTTTTTAAAGATTTATTTTACTTATTTGAAAGAGTTACAGAGAGAGGTAGAGATAGAGAGGTCTACTATCTGCTGGTTCACTCCCCAGATGGCCATAATGACCGGAGCTGAGCCAATCTGAAGCCAGGAGCCAGGAGCTTCCTCCAGGTCTCCCATGAGGATGCAGAGGCCCAAGGACTTGGGCCATCTTCCGCTGCTTTCCCAGGCCACAGCAGAGAGCTGGATCGGAAGTGGAACAGCCAGGACTAGAATCGGCGCCCATATGGGATGCCGGTGCTTCAGGCCAGGGCGTTAACCTGTTGTGTCACAGCGCCAGCCCCAAATATTCTGTCTTATAAATAAAGTAAAACTCCTTTTATAGTCTATATGTATACCATCATACCAATATTGATTCATTCCTAATCTAATACTTTGAAAGAACTTTATCAAATGTTCTGAAATAAAGTACTTATATCATAACACAATAAAAGATATTTATGCTCTTTATAAGGCAAATAATATAATTATCAGTTTGATCATTTCTACTAATGACTTATTTCTTGATTGCCCACAACTCAAAGATAATATTATAGACATGGCCCACAAGCCTTGTATCAGGAGGATGGAATTTCAGAGCACAAAACGTATACAGAAACAAATACACATAAAAATTCTAGAGAAGTAAATGCACTGAATTCACCCGAAGGGATCTCAGTCTAACCCGTCCAGCAGCGGGAGGTGCTAAGGGGAGTCAGATCCATGACTTTTGATCCTTTGAAGACACCAAAGGCACTTCTCGCTGGAGACAAAGAAGGAATCTACCTTCCTTAAAATAAAGCAGCCCCCCGTGTGGGGCACCAGAGAGAGGTTTTCCTTTTCCTTCTGCTGCGTACAAGAGCCTCTGGACGTTCCCTGCGACAAAGGCCACTTACGAATATTGTCTGTGTTCTCCCTGACAATGTCAGTCTTCAAAAGGTTATCAGCCAGCACAAAAGCACTTTCCTCCACGGTGTCAAGCAACATGGTGGCCGCGCGCAGTTGATCACTTGCAGTCAGGTCTCTCCATGCATTCAAAGCTTGTGGCTGGAGGAGGTTGTTAACTGTCTCGACCATAGCCTACAAAAGGATGAACAGAATGACAGAGGTCTCTAGTGAACCCGCGTAGCTGTCAGAAAGCCAGGTGTACATGTAGCCCAGCAAGCACGGATCAGCAGTGTGCATGAGTTCAGTATTGTCCCAGCCTCCCCTGTGACATGCTGCAGCAGAAGCATTCATTATTTTGCTCTGTAAAACCCTAGCTGAGACTTCGCAAGGCAAGGGGAAAACCTGTTTTTGTTTTGAAGGACAATAAATAGAGCCATGCTTCCTCTTTAGAATCAATAGCCCAGGATTCAATAACACTGTGATTACGTAATTAAATTATTTGGCTCAGGAATCATTGACGTGTTATTTAAATCAACAATTTTACCATATCACCTGCAGAAAATTGGTTTCTTTTTTTCCCTACACATCACCATACACACAGATGCTGAACACAACAGAGATTAAAAGGACGATTATAGTCAGGACAATACAAGAATGTGTCGCCTGTAGGCTGAAGACTCGCAGAGAAAACCAAAGGCTTTTGCTTGGTTCTTTTTAGCCAGGTAGCAGAATGTCAGAACGGGGAAACTATCAAAGCATACATATTCCCAGGGGCTTTGGGTAAGTTACATATGGACAGAAACCTTCTTCATGCTGTTTACTGCTGGGGAGAGTAATAAACTTCACTACCTCTGGCCCTCAGGTGTTTCTTCTTAAGAAAAAAAATCATCAGTAGGTACAGGACACATAGAGAGAAAACTCCACATTTCTCATTGCTTCATGGAAAAGAATCATCTCTGTAGTTACAATTTATATATTTCCTGCGGTTTGCTTTATGCTCTGGGTCACAAAGGAAAAACAGGTCTCCCGATAAGGTCTTGAGTTTCATTCAAACACTGAGAATTGCAAAATAGGAAAATATAACACCTGCAGTTTGAGAGTGATCATTCCCGAACCGGTTCATTATGAAATATGCCTCTACTCCAGGAATAAAGGAGAATAAACAGCCAACACAGACACAGTTTCTAAGCAGCAGGTACATTTTAAAAGAGGACTCACCTTATTGACACCTTGGCAGAGGGGTTGGGAGATAGGAGAGAAATATTCTTTACACTGTAGTGTTTTCTTGTGGCTGGTGTTTTCATAGTAACCAAGTAAGAACTGTTAAAAATGCAGCCCCATAATGAAACACCTTGGCTGCCAATTAACACCAGCTTCAAAAACTAATTCACCTTTCGACAAAAGTTGTTTTTCTTGACATTTTCCCAACTATTCCAAATTCTGACCAAAAATCAACATCAGTGGACTTTTTAGTAAATTAGTCCCACTCACAATTGCATACTTTGCATCATTCAAAAACTCCAAAACCACAATCAAGCCACAACCATCCCTCGTGAGCTTCAAGACAGGACATTTTCTCAAGGGGCGCTTAGCTCTGTCATTTATTCTGAGTTTAAAGCAAGACCCAGGAGCCAGACAAAAGTATTTCCGATCACAACAAAATGAACTGCTTTCCAGGAAGTTTTCTGTAAGTGTAATGCCAACAGGACATGCCAAAAAAGAGGTGCCAGTTAGGAAACAAACACATTATACATTTTCTGCAGCCAGAAAGAGGACTCAGGGCTCTTGCATGCAAAGAAGTATTGTGTCCGGCTTTAGAAGATCCCCTGAATGCATTCCACATGCTCCGAACAGCCCACGGGCAGCAACAAGTCGCTCTGGTCTCTATAAGGCAGTCATTTTAACGGGTAAAAATCTGAGTAATTGCTCAACACTCATACTGAGTGACTTAAATCTTACCTCAGGTAAAATTTACTGGGGATTATTATTGCTGCTTTAATTTGTCTTTTGACCAAAACAGGCAAATTGAGAAAAAAAAAAAAAAAAGAACAACTGTGGTCAACTCCAAGAACATTCTAGATAAGATCCTATTGTGCAGCTCACTAGGCTAATCCTCCGCCTGCGGCACCAGCACCCCAGGTTCTAGTCCCGGTTGGGGCACCGGATTCTAGTCCTGGTTGCTCCTGTTCCAGTCCAGCTCTCTGCTGTGGCCTGGGAGGGCAGTGGAGGATGGCCCAAGTGCTTGGGCCCTGCACCCGCATGGGAGACCAGGAGGAAGCACCTGGCTCCTGGCTTCGGATCCGTAGCAGCCATTTGGGGGGAAATCAATGGAAAAGGAAGACCTTTCTCTCTCTCTCTACTCTGCCAAAAAAAAAAAAAAAAAAAAGATACTACTGCAAGGTTAAATTGTAAAGAAACAGACCAAATCCCTCCCAACAAGGAAGTGCTAGGGCCAGAGCTTCAGTGCTGAAGGCCACCAAACACTGAGAGAAGAACTAACAGAAGGGGTGGCCCTGGAGTGCAGTGGGCGCTTCGCACCCAGCTCCCTGCTAATGCACATGGAGCAGCAGGTGATGGCTCAAGCACTTGGGTCCCTGCCATCCACATGCGAGACCCAAGGATGGGTTCCTGGTTCTTGGCTTCGGCCTGGCTCAGCCCTGGCTGCTGTGGCTATTTGGGGAGTAAATCAGCGGATAGAAGATTCTCTCTCTCCCTCTCTCCCTCTCTCTCTGTCACTCTGCCTTTCAAATAAATAAATAAGTCAAAAAAAAAAAAAAACTAACAAAAACTCCCTGAAGCTCTTCCAAAAAGTCGAAAGGAAGGAATGCTTTTAAGCAGGTTTTAGAAGGCCAGCATGACTCTGATACTAGACAGGTGAAGACTGCAAGAAAAGGAAACCACAGGCCGTGTCAGCAAACACAGATGCAAAGATCTTCAATGGAATTCCAGCAGGCTAAATCCAAGAGCACATGAAAAGGCCCATGTATCATGATCAGGTGCAATTTATCCCCACAATGCAAGAATAGTTCAACATAGAAAAATCAATTCATGTGATACACTTCACTAACATAACAAAGGACAGTATCCCAGGCTCTTTCCAACAGATGCAGAAACAGCATCTGATAAAATGCAACACCTCTCAAAAGGAAATTACCTCAACATAGAAAGTCCAATAGGAAAAAATGTCAGCTAACACTGAAGTCAACAATGAAAATCTAGAAGCTTTTCCTCTAAGAACAGGAACAAGGGAAGTGTGTCTATTCTTGCTACTCTTATTCAAGGTAGTACTGCAAGTCCAGCCAGAGCAAGTAAGCAAAATAAATTAAAAAAAAAAAAATCCAAATTGGAAATGAAGTAAAATTGTCACTATCTGCAGATGATATGATCCTATATAGAGAATTCCTGAAAGACTCCATAAAAAAGTTTGGCAGAATCAATTTAATTATTTAATTAAATTCAGGAACCTGTTTACAAGTTTATAAGAGACCAAAGCTGTGCGTTTGAACTGACAGCAAATGATTCAAAGGCATCAGATATTAATTTACCTTATTAATTATATTACAAATGTAAATAAACTTACTGCAATTGAAAGTTGAAGGTCAACATTTTTTCACCATAATAAATTCTGGGGGCCGGCACTGTGGTGCAGTGGATTAAGACAACACCTGCAGCACCAGCATTCCGTAAATTTATAATACATTTTGCACAACTGCATCCTCTCCAATAAGGTATAATCTTCAGAGAAGCTCTATATTAAAGACTAAATAATTTCCAGGATTATTAAAGAAACAGTAGATTTAAAATATGGCTCTAGGGCTTGGGAGTTGGTGAGTTGTTACACAAATTTCAGATCCATTTACTTTGCTTAATGATAACCCAGTCATGATTGCCCAAGTGTAATAGCAAGAAATCTGAACCCAGGGACTGAGTAACAGTATTCTGCAGTGTTAACATCTGGGAGTGGGATTTGGAGCCACAGCCACTGCAGCAGTACCTGACCCCTGCCTCTCACTGGTTATGTAACATTGGGAAAGTTACCTAACATCCCCGAACCTCAACTGTAAAGTGGAGGTGAGAGAAATCATCGTTTCATAACATTTCCTGGCTCATAATAAATGCTCAAGGTATAATCTTATTTTTATTTTCATTTGACATCACCATCCAGTGATATTAAGTACAAATCACATCCGAGACTTGCTAAATTGCCACATTAAAGTGAGATCTGCAAGGAATAGCTCTTCTGAAATGCAATCTTTATAATGTGACCTCCGACACAACTCAACTCTGAAGAAATACACTACCTGAAGCTTCAAGTAACTGGAGCCTCGAGGCTTGAACAAAGTCCATCTTATCTGCTTTGTGCTCAATATACACTGTTTGCATTTCCTAAAGGATGCTGAAATGTCCCTGTTACCAGCAAAGCAAAGGTCAGGCAAACAGTCACAACTCCACAATGGTAATGAATATCTGCACTCGGGCTTTTCTTATACATCTGCGCATTATGCATTTGTAAATTTTACACAAAAAGGATGATGCCATAACTTTTTCTAAAGTTAGCTATTTGCATTATTTTCACTAGCTTAGCATCATCTATTTAAAAAACAGGTTGATTTTCATTACATTTGGTTACAATGAAATGAGCTTAAATATATTTGGAACCCAAGTTGGATGGAAAACATACAGTGAATTTGATAAAGTCTGAAGCAGACACTGAAACATCTGGGAATATCTCTTTAAGGTCCGATAGTTCTCATTGATTTCTCTTTTCTCCTATAAATTCTTTTCTGATTTGAAATGTGCACCCGAAATTGGAACAAAATAAAGTTAGCCCTAAATGTATCTTACATAATTTTTTTTATTCTCATCACAATGCCTCACTTCAGGTAAGAGAGGAAAAAAAATCACCTATGGTTTTGCTATTTAAAGATGAAAATAATCTAAACTGTTGAAAAGGAAAGTGCATCAATAATATCTTTGCCAGAAGCTAAATATTAACTCACTTCATCATCCTCAGTAAAGCCCTAGAACCTGAGAATGAGCCGGGCGTGGGAAATTTGCATTCTAGTTCTGCCACCAAATTTCAGCCTGCCTTAGGACAAATCCTGTTTTCCCACCATTCATCAAACCGTGAACTACACAAGAAAATAAGTGTCACAGTGTTTCAATTTGAGGGTAGGCAGGGGTGGCCATTA